GCTCGATCCCCCCTCATTTTTTGAAAAAGTATGTTACAGAGAAAAAGAAAGAAAGAGAGAGAGAAAAAATAAGTGACCTGCCAATGTAACAAATGAGGTATCGAAATATGCTCATCTGACCGTAATTAAATGCCTTAAACTCCAGAGCTTACGGGGGCTCCGCCTGCGGACCCCACCAGGGCCCTAAGGCGGTCCCCTGGATGCTATTCTGACCGTAATTAAATACCTATAACACCAGAGCTTCCGGGGGCTCTGCCCCCTGGACCCCACCAAGGGCCCTAAGGCGGGCTTGGGTTGATGCTCATCTGACCGTAATTGAATGCCTAAAATCCCATTGCTAACGGCGGCTCCGCCCCCGGACCCACCAGGGCCCTAAGGCGGTCCCCTGGATGCTATTCTGACCGTAATTAAATACCTATAACACCAGAGCTTCCGGGGGCTCTGCCCCCTGGACCCCACCAAGGGCCCTAAGGCGGGCTTGGGTTGATGCTCATCTGACCGTAATTGAATGCCTAAAATTCCATTGCTAACGGCGGCTCCGCCCCCGGACCCACCAGGGCCCTAAGGCGGTCCCCTGGATGCTATTCTGACCGTAATTAAATACCTATAACACCAGAGCTTCCGGGGGCTCTGCCCCCTGGACCCCACCAAGGGCCCGAAGCACTGGCGTACCTATGGGGGGCAGGGGGGCAGAGTGCCCCCTGACGGGCTCCAGGGGAAAAAAGAAAAAGGGGAAAGGGAAGAAAAAGAGGAAAGAAAGAGAAAAAAGGAAAAAAGGAAAAGGAAAGAAAAAAAAAAGGAGAGAAAAGGAAGAAAAAGGGAAAAGAAAAGGAAAGGAACAAAATGGGGAAATTAAAAAAAAAAGACCATGGCCGTACGCACCAGGAGGGGGGGGTGGCAGTTGACCCCAGATATTTTGAAAACGTACAGTTTTTTCCTGAAAATGTAGTGTAGGCCTATTCCAAATCCTTCAATTCTACTTTTGAAAATGCAAAAGTACCCTCATGACCAGTTCGGTCGCTCGAACTCCCTTCACTCTTTTTGCTTTTGAGATTCTTCGAAAACGTTTAACGCATCTTTCCCCCTCCCCCACCAGAAAAATATTCCGCATACGGCCCTGAAAAATTAAGACAAATGAAAATAGGAAAATATAAGTGATATAACAAATTCGAAACTCTTCGCTGGCGCGAACTGCTTGCTAGCCTATTTTGTATTAAATGTTTTCACTTGCTCGTCCCCCTGAAAAAAGAAAAGGATTAGCATTGCCTAGATTATTGTGCCTGCCCCGATGGGCCCCGACCTGCAACCATGGCAACAATAACACACAATGTATGTACCAAATGTCACTAAAAGAGACTAATTCATTTTTCTCGCTCGCTACACTCGCTCGCGAATAAAATGAATAGACATTGCTTTAGAACATGTGCCCACCCTTGACCTGCAACAATATCATTAAAAATGGAAGAGTTTTTTCGCCCTCTCGCCAAAAAGGAATTGAATCGCGTTAAACGCGATTGCGTCCATCCTGACCTGCACCAATAAAAACAAGTTTATTTATTAATTTCTATTAAAAGAGAATTTATTTTTTTGCTTGCTCGCTATATGCTCGCTCGCTAAAATGGAATTGACACCGCCAACGTGCCCGCCCCAACCTGCAACAACCAGTTAATAATTATGTACCAAACGTTATTCGAAGAAGTTTTGGTGTGCTCGTGCTCGCCAAAACGGAATTAGACATGATTGTGTAAGCCCTGACCTGCAACAAAAAAATCTGAAATTTATGAACCAATTATCATTACAAAAATTTTGCTCGCTCGCTACGCTCGCTCGCCAAAATAGAAATAACACCGTTTTTAATAATCACGTCCCTGACATGGAACAATGAACCCAAGTTTTATGTACCATATTTTCCCTATAAAAGAGAAGTGATTTTTTTTTGCTCGCTCGCTAGCTCGTGGAATTATGTGCCCACCACTGACCTGCTACAATATCATTAAAAAGAGAAATGTAGGGGGTTGCCTGCCCGCCAAAATGGGATTGACATTGCCTTAAACACGATTGTGCCCGCCCCCGATCTGCAACAATGAAACAAATTTTATATAGCAATTCATTGAGAGAAAGGTGTATTTTCGCTCGCTAGTTAAGATGGGTATAAAATCACCCTATACACAATATTGTTCCCGCGCCCTGCATGGGACAATTGAACCAAGTTTAAGTGGCAATTATTAAAAAAGAAGTGATTTTTTTCTTGCTCGCTACGCTCGTTTGCAAAAAAATGAAATTAACGTCGCTAACAAGAGAATGTTCCCACCCCCAACTTGCAACAATACCAGTTTATATACCAAACGTTACTTAAAGATTTTGTTTTGCTCGCTCGCTCGCCAGAAGTGAAAATTAGCATCGCCTTTTTTGTTTGTTTCGGTCGCTTGCCCCCCCTGACGGAGTACCCCAGGTACGCCACTTTCCCCAAGGCGGGCTTGGGTTGATGCTCATCTGACCGTAATTGAATGCCTAAAATCCCATTGCTTACGGCAGCTCCGCCCCCGGACCCCGCCAAGGGCCCTAAGGCGGTTCCCTGGATGCTAATCTGACCGTAATTAAATACCTAAAAACTCCGAGCTTCCGGGGGTTCTGCCCCCTGGACCACATCAATTGCCTTAAAGAGAGCCGCTTGATGCTCATCTAACCGTAATTAAATACCTAAACCCTTGAGCTTCCGGGGGCTCTGCCCCTAGACTCTCCGCCAATGAGTGACCTGCCAGTGTCCGCAAATAAGGTATATAAATATGGTTATGTGACCGTAATTTAATGCCTAAAAACACTGAGCTTCCGGGGGCTCAGCCACTTAACCCCCAGCCGGGGCTAATGCCATGGACCCCACGCCAATTTACGCTCTACCTGATCGTTAATACTTCCGCGGGGCCTGCATGTAACGTGTAATAGTGGTGGTGATGCAGATTTTTCTTCTGCCCTCCCCCCCCCCTTCCAAACGTTTTTGCTCATTACGTCCCCCTGGAATTAGGTGAGCCCCCTAGAATGTTTGCCTCCCCCCCCCCCAATCCCAAACTGCTTCCGGCGCGCCTGGTATCCATGGTACCAAATGAGAAGAAAAGTCCAAAAGTCGTTCAGAAAGCATATCATTAAAATTTCGGATAAAATGATTAAACGAAGAACATTTTGATTGTTTTATATTGCGTGTGTATGTACATGCATATCGAACTTGTGATTGTGTCCGACTTGATCATCGAAAACAGCGGCCATTTTTGTTAAAGTGTCAAAAGTACTTTTTTGATGGACATCCGATAGGAGCACGTAGTATTTCTATAATTACGTTTACAACGGTCCGGTGTTGCAAAGCAACTCCACGACACCAACGCAATTTACTTTTTTTTTTTTTTTTTCTTTCTGTTTTTATTGTTTTTTCTGAAAAATTAACAGAGTAAAAGCAACAATATAAAATATAATATCATCTTAAAACTACAAAACAGGCACGCACTCATGCACCCATAAACACGCACACACACACACACACACACACACGCACACACACACACACTCACACTCATATACTTTCCCAGAGGGCAAGTTTACAGTTCAAAAAGCCGATGAAGATGTTAATGACAACAGAGCTTTGCAAGACTACTCCTAAATTTTAGTTAAACTTGATAGACCATTTCTTAAAATGAACTTGTAACTTATTTTTCTTTTGGGCAATTTTATATTCTATTTTTTGTTTGAACTTTACCATTGAAACAAATGCTTCGAAAATAAGTTCTTTTCCCTGAAACCTACATGAGTAAATGTAATATTTTAAACATAAACAGAGAAAATTTATACAAGAGGCGTATTTGTCCCTTGACTGTATCCCAAACAAAAAATTAAATTTTGACAGAGTCAGATTATAACTGTGATCAGTGCCAGTGTTAATCTTATCCACCAATTTTTCCACAGTGGTACAACTCTCCTACAGTCACCAACGCAATTTACTTGCTGCCAGCCGAAGATGGCGTGATCTATAATTAGGAGGGCTTAGGCTCACAGAACTGTACAGTTCTGTTACGATTTCGTTGGGGTAGTGAGCACATTTTTTTTTTTTTTTTGATCCTCAAAAAAAATTCGATTTGCACCCCCCCCCCCCTGGCGCTAAAGGGGGGCCCAACCCCCAAAAAAGGTAAAAATCACGTGATTTTACATGATTTTTTCTCAAGGGGGGGGGGGGGGCGGGCCCCCGGGCCCCCCCCCCCTGGATCCGCCACTGCCAGCAGTCTTTCTTTGCTTTGTGTTTGTCTTTTGTTTTTGTTTTGTTTTTGTGTATTTGCGTTTTAATTTCTTGCTTTTTCTTACTCTGGGGGAGTTTTGGGTCTTTTCAGAAGTAGTACTGTATTTTTTTTTTTTTTTTTTTTTTTGGGGGGGGGGGGGGACAGATTATTATATTTCATTAAGCAATTATCTATTTTGTTTACCTTAACATATTTTTTGAAAGAAAACAAATGAACATGAAATGACTAAATAGTGTATTACTCTTATTGTTCTAAACGAATAAGGAAATGTATAAAAGATCGAGTTGTTTTGTTTAATTAGCAATTGATGTTAAATATAATAAGAATTATACTTTTGTATTGTATTCCAATTATTCCGAGTGTGACGTCAAGTCAGTATGATATGTTAATTGCATGATTTTATTAGTTGTACTTGTACTACCTCTGGTATTGAGGAAATAAAACACCTTACAAAAAATAAAACAAACAAACAAACAAACTACCGGTAAACCCAACAAGCATAGAGCCATTTATACTATTCTATGCATATTGTGTACACAGGGAATCAAACATTTCTCTTTTTGGATTTGCCTGTAATAAGACACCATTGAGTCCGATCGGAGTTGGAGAAATTCACAAGGACTTGTGCCTTAATTTCTTTAAACAGAGATGGCTGAGGTAAGTACACTTTCACCTTTTACATTATGATATATATTATGTCTATGAGAATATTTGTTCATACACCTAGCTGAATTCTTGAAGTGTAAGCGGGAAACGGCTTATTATGTCTTTGAGAAAAGTTGAAGCGCAAATGCTGTGACTACGGCTCTACGCACCCGGGAGTTCCCCGGCCAGCGCATGGAAGAAATCGCTCTCGATCGTCTTTCCCACCACAGGCATATGTTCAGCATTACTATCTGGCGCTGCGCGTTGCACGCTTGCTGTGAATTAATTTAAGATGGGCAACACTGTATGGTGGTGTGACCAAAGCTCGCGTACAATCAGTAAAAGCACTTAAACAGGAGAACAATTATACGCAATGCCTGTGTGGTGCATGGTGGGACTGAGACACCGGAATCTTTGACTCTTTTTGAAATTTGACTTGTTAGACTTTGTTTTGAGCACCATCGACAACTCCAAAGGTCAAAATGCGACATAAAAATGTGAGTAAGCTAGCTTTTCCACACTTTTTATGATTACAAATTGTGAAAATCAGTTTATTAGAGGGGAATTGACTTAGAAAAATAATGATAAAATTTCAATTTCTTACGCGAAAAACAACCTGCTTTCACCGTATCTGTGTTTGTGAATTTCAGTACTATAAATGGGTTTCGTAAGAATACAAATTTAAAAGGGGAAAGTGGAGAGACAAAGAGAAAAAAGTAACAACTCATGTATGGCTGAGAGAGAGGGAGTTAGAGAAACACTCCAAAACGAATGTAGAGGGCCAGTGATGATAATTTAAAGGGGGAGCCATGGGAGGGGGGGGGTGGGGCTTGTAGTGAGATGCAGGAGATTGGGAGGGGGCTGGGGTTGACAATAATGTTCTTACCTTGGGGTTCTATCGTTTCTTGCCGCTCAGCCACAACCACCCTCCTGGCCTGTGGATCTGCACAAGGCAGCTCCTTACCACCCTACCTCATCTTCAAGGAGAAGAACATGACAACCTAGCCGCCTGAAGGATGTCTACCTGGAAGCTGGTTCAAAATGACAGATAGCAGATGGAGTAAGAGTGTAGTAGTCGGGGACTTCCTCAGCAAACACTTCATTTCATCCCTGCCAGATCAAAGCCCAGAGCAGAGAATACTACCCCTCTATGATGGCCATAAGAGCCATATCGACGTCCCCCTCATAGATGAAGCTCGACGGAACAACATCGTCCTATACCTTCTGCCACCCCCATACCAGTCACATACTCCAGCCTTTAGATGTCGGTGCTTTGGCCCAATGAAGGCTCATTTCAACCGACAGTGCAAAGACTTTCTGTCTGATCATCTGGGACCGTCAATTACAAGATATGACCTGTGCAGGCTCATAAGCCATTCATACTGTACCTCCAATCAATGAGAAGGGGAAATCTGGAGGGAGTCTTCAATCCAGAGGCTGTAGACATCGTAAGGATGACAAGACCGACTACAGTAACAAACTGTGAAGGTCACCCAGCAGGTCGCCCATTCAGCAGCAACGTGGAAGCACTCTTAGCCAGCAAAGAAGCATCCCCTCCGACAAAGAAAACAAACCGGAGAAAGCTACGTGCTGCACCCGAATACGAAGCTGGCGGACTAGCCATAACGGAAAATGGAATTTTTTTGACAATTTTCTGTTCAAACATCCGGTGAAAGACCTGCACCTAACCACAGCAGTGTCCAGGATAATGGGAATGACGAGAGATGTTTACAGTTCCATCCCGATGAACCTTCTACAGAGAATGATAATGACACTAACATCATTTGGGCGGAATGTGTATCCTGCCAGCACTGGGTCCACCTTGGACGCTGTGCAGGAAAGGAGGAAGTAAATGACGATGACTTATTTCGTTGCCCATGCTGTTTAACCAAACCTTCAGCAATCCATTTTCCAAATTTTCTATTTTTATTATTATTTTAGTATCATCCCCAGGACCATTTCATAATCTGTAACGTGCACACACATAATCGTAAGCGATATATTATTATACAAATCAATTCATTTAGTTATGCTTTGATTGTTTTTCAATTAAATATAACACATAGTTGATGTATAAATCGATTATAAATATGTAACTTATAAAAATATAAATATCTAAATAATGAAATATATGAATATGTAAAAATGTGAATGTGTCAATATGTAAAATATCAATATGTTACAATGGTTTTAATATTAAATTTTTGTGTAATATTATGTAAAATATGTAAAAGAATTTAATGAATCATTCAGCAATAAATGTATATGAAATAAATCAATTCGAAATGATAAATGTAAGTATTAAAAATTAAATGTTCTCGACGAACATGATTAAACAAATTCATGTACAACTGAAGACCTCTACCACTTTGATTTTGCCTCTATATTTCTTTATATTCTGGGTGAATTCCATTTTTTTTAAAACTATTAATTCCCAATATATTTGTCATGATTGTTGTGTGGATGAAAGAGTCGAGCTAGTTACGTTTCATTAGAAAAAAGATTGTGGAGCTCGTAAAACATATTTATTTTCGTGCTGTAGCACTGACTAAGCATACATATATATTTGATTTTCCAGTCTGGTGGCAACCATTTCCTTTCAAGGAACACTCAGCAGAAAATGAGCCTTAGTCACAAGAATTTTCCTCTCAATTACCTCTTTTTCCTATGTCCCCTATTATCTCTGATAGCCACTGCATCAGAGTTCGGTCATTGTGATCCATCCTGGTTCTTACTGGCTGCGTATTGGACGTGCCTCGGACCCTTACCCAGTAGCAGTTCCACAGGTGATCGCCAGACGGCATCGTGGTCCGCAGCAGGACAGGTTTGAGGAAAAGCTTCTTCACAGGAATGGGGTCGATGTAAGTGTATCAGAAAAGTCTACTTCTCTGATTTAGTGAGAGATGATATACATGTACACATGGGGGGGGGGGGGGGTGTTGGAGGCCATGTACATGTAATGTCTCTACATTGCATGCAGAGAATCACTCAATTTTATTACACGATGTGCATATCCGTTTATCAAATTCTAAAGATCCTTGTATTGCCCATTCAGCTCGCCCAATACAGGGACTGCATCTTTAACAAATGGAGAACTGAAACCTCTGTCTACCGGTAGGTTCTTTTGTTACACCTAGTTTGGGGTTTCAATTTGAGAAAAATATGAATATGATGTATTTCGAGCATAGCTACTGTTCATATTGTTATCCCATTGTAAATTTAAGATGGTTTTAAAGTTGACACTGTAGATTTAATCATTTTGACAGAAGAAAAAAAAATCCACATAAATTATTTAACTGTATACCTGTAGTCTGCTTTCACTATGAACATGACGGACAAAGAAAGCGGACAAAATATACAGTTCCTCAGGTAGACAAAGGAACATCCCTTCACTGCTATTATGTAAAAATGTGTAGAACAGGTGAATATGCATGTGACACCTGTTCTATGTACACATTTTTACATAATAGCAGTGAAGGGATATTCCTTTGTCCACCTGAGGAACTGTATATTTTGTCCGCTTTATTTGTCTGTCATGTTCACAGTGTTTATGGCTGCGAAAAATGACAGATTTGCAGAAATCTCCGACTATCACTATACCAGCAGCTGGTGATTAATTAATTTTATTTTACAACCTTTCCCCTTTATCAGCATTCTGGCAGCTCCACCCAGAGAGAGCAGGCTTTGAAGATGGTGGAACAGGCCATTTGGTCACGTAAGACATCGCAAGGACACAGGAGAGAAAATGTACACACGTCAGAGGTGAGTGTTATCCAAGGTCGCCACTATATATAGGCTCCAAGAGTAATGCGCACATGGTAATCGTTAGGCTCACAAAGAGTCTAGCAAGCTGTGCCTACCTCACAGACAATTAGAATTTGATTATTTATTGCTTTGCCTCACTATTTATAAAGGCAAAACATAGAACTGAATAAATACTGAGATGTGAATTTACAACTACAACGTTCCATTACGCTGTACTTACCGATTGAGCTAACGATGGGTTGATGAAAGGTGGGTTTGCGTGATTATTTATTGCTTAAAGGTAAAGACCAGTATTGGAAACGCCCCAATTTCAAAAAATGAAATACAAGCTCTTATTACCAATCATGTGAAAGAATATGTTTTGAATAATACATGATGGGTCATTCCATGTCAAATCACCCAAAAAATCTGAAAATCTTAACCCGACCATTTTTGATTTTCATGAAACTTAGTGTACTTGTTGAGTGTGATCTCACAGCACCAAATCCAAAATTTTAGGTCAATTGGGTGAGGGGTTTGGGAGATACGGCCAACCAAATTTTGAGATTTTTTCAAAAATGGGGGTGGCGGGCCTACCTTTGAACCCTTGTATCTCGGGATCTAATGGGTCAATCTTCACAAAATTTGTAGTGCTGGAAAGGGTATTCAATAAGGATTCCAAATCTGCCGCCATTTTGAAAATTTATACATGACAGTTGGGGTACTTTGACCTCTTGACCTAAGATTTGACCTTGAAATTGACCTTGTGGATCACGTGACCTTGACAACATTTTTCATGAAATGTAATCTCTGACATGTTCACTTAAACATATAAAAGTTTTAGAGATATAATATTTTTTGTTTAGGAGCAATAAGGATTGAAAGTATATATATATGGCACTGGTTTTTTTAACTTATACCAAATGTGTCCACAAATGGGTCCAAAATGAAATTATGTTTACTCACTTCAAACTTCTATTTTTAGGATCAGGACTAATCATATTTTTGAGAAATGCAAATTCTGGACCTTAATCTATCTCCTTATTTATTCACCAGTTATGAATACTTTGAGTTTTTACAATTTTATTGTGAACTATAGCATAACTTATAACTGTGATATTAAACTCATTTGCTATTAACTACACCTTTAAATATGTTGGGTCTTTAAGAATATGTTTCAGAGATTATTCATGCAAATTTTTGAGTTTCTATCTTGAAAAATACAGATTTTGTGTCCCTTGAAAGTGAAAAATAGCTCCAAATTAGGGTTTTGACAATAAAAAGTTTTTATTTCATTAGGTAAAATGCTTTTTTCTTAGGTCAAACTTATTTTATTATAACAACTGATGATATAAGTTAAATACATCCAAAAAAATTGGGGAACCAGTGCATTGCCTAATAATTTTCATATGTCACACCACTGGTGTTTCGGACGTTACACACTGTTAACATCATAACTTTATTCAAGTTAATTGCTTTTCTTTAGGTATTATTGACCTAAGTTACATTAATTGTTTGCAGAAAAATATTTCTTTAACATTTATTGAAAAACTTGTGTAGTTTTAATTAGTTATGCACATACACCTAGTTTGTCTTCATCGACTACTCAATTTATGTAAGGTATACTGTTCATTTCAGGAACGTGTAGTTAAAAATGCTTATGTGATCTAACAAAGTGAAATATGGAGCTAATAGCAATTGTAGTCATCACAACTCCTAGAAAATTCAGTTACAAACATACTCTCTTTTGCAGGTTATGAACAACAGTGTACAATATATATGCAATAGTTTGTTTCGGATGTTACAAGATGTAAACATTTCAATCAGATCATCAATTTCTTCAAACTTTACAACATAGATGTTTAATCGGCTTGCTTTGTACTTTGCCTAAAACTAGATTCATGTAGTGTGTCATTCAATAATATCACTATCACATACATGTACAGTATGTACAGTGTAAGCAAAACATTACAAAAATACTTTTAACAAATAAAAGTATATAAAAGTATCCCCAGCCATTTAAGTAATTAGAAATATGGGAATCCTAATTCATTGTACATCCCGATATTCTTGCATAAATTTGAGGAAGTTACTATATCTTTAGGATCATGAAATGATCATTAACATGTACATTTTGTTATGAAGGTCAAGCATTTGAAAAGTATTTGTACGTAAGGCTAGTACATTTGAGGGTAGTTCATCCAATGAAAGGATAAAATTATGAATTAATTAATTTTGAAGAGGCTACACCTTATTTTCATGTTCATGCTTTAATTACCCCCACAAATTGGTAATCCATTTTCTTGTCATTTGGAAATTTGGCAGATCTACAGCTATGTCAACATTATGTTGTACAAGTTTCTATAATAGGTATCGGATACCGATTACTGATTATTGTTTTATAATGGAAGCCTTTGTGCTCATCAATTGTACATGTATGCAACCAATGAGTGTGTCATGTAGTGTGCAAGCCAATTTCATAAAATTGCTTGATAAATTGTTATCATTATTAAGTGTAAATGCCAATTCCAGTTTTGGATAATGGCAGTATTAATCCTTTCTACATAGATTAGTTACATGTACTGAGTGCCCTTTTTAAAATGTATTTTCAGATGAAAATACATATTTTTCATAAATTTTTTAGAAAAACATTTTAATTTGCTTGATTTTTATCAACTTCATATACCTGTATCATATCCATGTCATGACCATGCACACTGGGTATTGCTTAAGTGGGTGATTTTTATTTTTGTAACCTACCAGATGGTGTAAATTGACCATACAATTTTTGGTTATATAACATCATTTGGAACAACCTCTATAAAAATGAAAACCTCATGATTTGCAAACACACACCAATGTAAATAGCAAAAGGAGAGGTTGAACAAATGAAATTTGCTATTCTCACATCTATCATTGCCCCTCATTTGAACTAGTTAAAGTATGAAAATGTCTGTTAACAGTTTAATGTAACGTCCGAAACGTGCTAACAGCATACCAGAAAGTGCTGTTAAAGTGTCTGAATATTTGTTATGAGTCACTTTTGTTGAGATTTTTTCTGATAAATTACAATTAAGGATATACTGAAGCAGCCAGCCATGCCTTGCATCACAAAGTGTGGCTTCAATATTTTATGTTTTATAAGTCAATTTTGCAGAAAATTTAGATATTTTACGGATTATTTGATTTTTGGCATCATATTTCTACACATTTTTATATTTAAATCTGAATAAAATCATCAAAATAGTGTTTTTAACAGGAGTGTCCATTGTGAAATGTTAACTTGCAGATATGATCGAAAATTAGGTGAAATTTGTCGACTTTGTGTTAACAATAAAATTGTGTAACGTCCGAAACACCATTCTTGTGATTACAAAAAATTAATGGATTTGAAAGACCTGATTTGTGTTTTGACTTGTGTTAAGACTCATAATAATTTATTTCATAATGATTTATTCACTCTAGATACCTTAAAATATGGATTATTATCATTTTATTGGTATTTTTTGTTTCGGACGTTACATTTGTTTCGGACGTTACAACTGTTAACGGAAAAGTGGTTTTAACTATAAAATAGTATTGTAGTAATGTATTGCAAATTTCTTTGTTTTGGTGGGTAGCTGCCATGAGATGTTAACAAAATGTTATGATAGATATATCCTGCTGTTCATATATTTTCTGCTACTTCAACTTGAAAATTGTTTCGGACGTTACAAAACTGTTTACGGAAAATGAGACGACTTTTTCAAATTTTGAGTATATTTCTAATATAAGCGCTACTATAATTAAATTACATTTTCTTTTAATATAATCATTTGGAGCAACTAATAAACTCACTCAAACCATATACAATCCCATTAATTTGTTGTCCTAGTGGGTTAAATGAGGGTCTACATTGTTTACGGAAAATGTAACGTCCGAAACGCCATTTTCAATTGCACTTTTCCATTAAAATAGGGGAGTTGATTCAGATTACTGTTAAGTTTCTTTAAGATCCACTCATGCTCATTAATCATCAATAGAAAAAAATCATATTGTTTGTGGCTATATATTTTTTCAGCTCCGACCAAAATGGCATGTCAATTTTGTTACAAAATTCCGTAAACAATTTGCTGTTCAGGGATACCTCATGCGCATAAAGCAACGATGAAAATTTTTCGTTAAGCTATGGGAGGTTAACCTAGGTCCATGCTACTAGAAAAAGTTGTTACTGATTTCTAGTTCTTTATCTTTGGAAAGTTACAGGCTCTCAAAGGGCCATTTAGGTATTTGGTCATAGTTAAAAAAACCAGTGCCATATATAAAGGGGGGGGGGGGGACCTTTCCAGGGGGGTAATTATCCTAGAACCGACTCAGAGGCCTAAAGCCATACATCCTATTAACCCTTTAGGCCTATATGAACTTGTCATTTTATTTTCTATTCAAGTACTGCTGACATTTAGAATGGATATGCCTAGAACAAAAAAGCATGTGGAAGATGTATGTTATACTGTGCATATTGCATGTATTGTATACATTATGATAGTATAGGGTTTATTGTGAATATCTGTAAGTATGGATACTTAAATGGCCTTGATGCATGCTACATCTAAAAATCAAATCATATACATACTTATAAAAGCAATATTGTATTTTGTATATTAGATCCATAGCTACAATGATTCTGTCAGTCATCAATCAGTTGATGAGTTCACTGATATGTCATGGACGAACACTTCAGACAACACAGATCACTTTGTTGGGGATCAGGTAAGTACGTTTAAAAACATATTAGGTTACTATCAAGACGATAAATCATAATTCTACTTTTTGCCATAGTTTTCGAATCGGGTAAAATTTCAGAAGAATTTCAACTAGCGCTTGATCATGCAAAAACTGATTAATGGAGGGGACTTTTGTACGTTCATGTATATACATGTACTATTTTTCTGCTACTATGACCCATGCAATTCCTACTTGATTTACTCTTTTGTATGGCCTCAAACTCTATGGCCCGAATTCACAAAGCAAGGTTTGAGCGCAAACCTCCTTTTGTTCTTTACAAACCAGGTTTGTAAAAAACGTGTAAAACGCGTCATATGACGTACGAAAACCAAGGTTTGTCAACAAACCTCCTTTGTGAATTTGGGCCTTCCTGGTGGATTAAGCTCAAGATATCCTGGTAACGTAGACACAAAATAATACAGAATTTGTTTGTTAGTCTTTCTTAATCCAACCAAAGTCAGGAGTATAGACTAAATCATATTTTTGTAGTAAACTGGAAGGTAATTATATGTTTGTTTGTTGTTTTTTTGGTGGTGGTACATGTAAATTCTTTATGTATATCAACTTGATGTTTCACAAAATACAGCTCCTTATTTTATATTTGTAATTTCTTTCATTTGGTTTAACTATAAAGTAGACTCCTAATAGGAGTATACGTTATAGTTAAAGTTTGATTTGTTATCTGTGTGTCTAGCGAAAGCCAGTGCAACTTATGGACTGATCTGCTGATCTGTTGTTGGTTTTTTGTTATTTTTGTATTAGGCGCTTTACCTTGAAAACTCAGCTGATTTCAGTATCCACTGGCCAATGAAGCGGGGTCAGTTGAACCTTCACTCCAGAGTGGGCGGAACTATATCTGCAGTCATCCAGGACCTGTGTACGATATGGGGTCATGTATTAGACAAAAGTTTGGGGATTCCAGCTGGAGAATTAAAGGTATGGTCTCTCTCTCTCTCTCTCTCTTCAGTGTTCCACTTTTATAGTGAATCCATTTAATTTGTTTAAAGAATTGTTCAAACTTTTCCGCTACATCTTACATGTACATGTACTACTATCCCTCACTTCAGAAAATGTACTAATCAGAGAACTAAAAAACTGCCAACTTAATGATTGAATATAATTTCTGAAGAAGTCTAAAGAGGACAGAAACTTAAAACAGAGACACCCTTTTTCCTATCTTTTGCGAATATGGTGTAAAAGTAAACAAGAGCAAAAGAGAGGATAGAAGGTGTATTGTATATTGTATATTACGTTTTTGATGAATGAAATCCTGTTCAGTGATTGGTCAACATAGCATTATATGACCAAACATAAAATTGCTATGATGTTACCGATAAAAAAAAAAGTACATATATAGTGCACTATACCATGGATGACGTCATAGACAAATTATTATTATTATTTTTATGAAGGTTGGTTTGAAAAAATTAAAACAAACATATCATACATAAAGTGCTATTCCTGCCACCTCGATCCATAATTTCAACTAGAGCCTCTCAGTGCATGGTATATGTGTTTATTATAAATGTATATGTATACATCAGGCCCAATGAAGCATAGCCAACTTATTAAAGAGTGGATAGTTATTTAAGCTTCATTGGCCATGATATACATATATATATATACAATTCAATTTTGATAATCCTCTGTCATGATAATATACAAATAATGATTAGAACAATTGAAATAATAATTCTATGAACCGTTTCAATCTCATTTCTTCAGATAGTGAATTCAAAATTACAAATTAATTTGAAGAAATAAAATTGAAACCAGTCATAGTAACAAATGAACTCTCAAGAATTTGTATTTTTTTATTTTTTTTAATCATTATTTGTATATTACCCTGACAGAGGATTATCCAAATTGAATTGTATACATATATCATGGCTATTAAAGGTAGCATAACAGAGTGGGTAGATATGTATTCTCCATTGGTCATGATATATGATAATTAAAACAATTGAAATAAAAATGTAAGATTGAAACTGCTCGTGGTTAAGAAGTGAACTCTCAAAGATTATTATTTCAATTGTTTTTATCATTATTTGTATATTACCGTATTACTTTATCATCAAAATTGAATTATGTTTGTGTATATATATATATATATATATATATATATCGTGGCCAAATAAGTATGGCCAATTCATGAAATAGTGGATAGATCTGTATACCTGCTGTACATAGGGTTATGGTTTATGTGGATTTTGTATAGCCTCCATCACCAAACAAGTACATGTTCTAAACAGACCATGCAGGTCAACCAGGAAGTGACTGGCCTTGGTTTTCAATCATTGTTCATATGTATTTAGAGGCATGGCCAACTCATAAAGGAGTTGGTAGATCTGTATATATATCTGCTGTATTCACAAAAATGTAGGGTCATAGTCTCACGTATCATCTCACCATCACTGAGCCAGTGCACGTTCTAAACAAACCATGCAGATCAAACCATGAAACGACTGCACCCACCTTGGTTTTCAATCATTGTTCATATATATATATATATACATATATAGAAACATGGCCAACTCATAAAAAGTGGGTGGATCTGTATATATCTGCTGTATTCACAAAAATGTAGGGTCATAGTCTCACGTATCATCTCACCATCACTGAACCAGTGCACGTTCTAAACAAACCATGCAGATCAAACCATGAAACGACTGCACCCACGGCCCACCTTGGTTTTCAATCATTGTTCATATATATATATACATATATAGAAACATGGCCAACTCATAAAGAGTGGGTGGATCTGTATATATCTACTGTATTCACAAAAATGTAGGGTCATAGTCTCACGTATCATCTCACCATCACTGAGCCAATGCATGTTCTAAACATAACATGCAGATTAAAGTACAAGTCCACTCCAAAAATAACTTACTTTCAATAGAAGCAGAAAAATCAGACAAACCAATCAAAAAAAGTTTGAGCAAAATCAGATAATAAAGGAGTGGGTAGATCTGTATATATCTACTGTATTCACAAAAATGTAGGGTCATAGTCTCACGTATCATCTCACCATTACTGAGCCAGTGCATGTTCTAAACATACCATGCAGATTAAAGTACAAGTCCACTCCAAAAATAACTTACTTTTAATAGAAGCAGAAAAATCAGACAAACCAATGAAAAAAAGTTTGAGCAAAATCAGAAAATTTATATTGAGTTTGAGTTTATTGAGTTTATTGATTTCACATTTCACATGCAGAAATAATACAGATAACAAAATATACATAAAAGACATATTGTTTCATAATATAACAAAATGATTATATTAATTGACAAGGTAATCATCACATTTGTTTGACAACTAATATCATTTAAAGGAAACCCAGATAAAAGTACAAACTGTGAAATGTGCAGGAACCTATAGAAAAGCAGAGCTTGTAAAGAATAGGTTCCTGGGCGACTTGAAAAATAACCGGGACAGAAAATGTTTACTGTAGAGAGAGGTACACAATTAAAATTAAGACGGTAGTAAAGAAGGTTATGAATTTTTGAAAAATTATGTAAAACAATAGAACAATGGAAATCACTACACAAATTGCCAATTTGGTTATCAGTTTGTGACGTCGTGTCCTTACTATTTATCAATTACTTTATATAGTTTAATCCCATTAATTTCTCTTTTTATCCCCCAAAACTTGATTTCCCCATGCCTTTGTCCAGGTTATATTATTTGTATCATTTGCGTGCATGGCATTGCACAAAATATTTTATGAACTTTGAAGAATTGATACTATTTTCTGAATATTGTGTATTCATAATTATTGATTTTTATCTGAATAGTTTATCAAAAGTCACATTTTTCATGATTTAACTGAAAACAAATTACTCTACATTAGTGCATCCAAACAAAAACATATTACTATCAATCTAACCTGGATGCTGGTGTGAAGAAATCAGATTCTTAGGGGGAAAATAGAAAATTTATATTATCAATATAAAGAAAACAATTAGGGGATAGTGAGGACATGACGTCATAGACTCATGAGTGAATTTCCATTTTCCAATATGTCTTGTGATTTTCATTGTTCCTTAGTTTTACAGACTTTTTCAAAAATGTATAACTTTCTTATTAGATATCTGAGTTTGCTCAAACTTTTTTTGATTGGTTTGTCTGATTTTTCTGCTTCTATTGAAAGTAGGTTATTTTTGGAGTGGACTTGGCCTTTAAGCCAGAAAGCGACTGCACCCCGCCATTGTTTTCAATCATTGTTCATATATTTATATAAAATATATAGAAGCATGGCCAACTCATAAAAGAGTGGGTGGATCTGTATATATCTGGGTCCCGTTTTGTGAAGAGTTAGGGCCAAATAACAAAAATGAAGTGTTTCTTGTCCCTGCCCTCCCCCTTTTTTTTGCTACTGGTATTCAGAAGAAAAAAAGGGAGAAAAAAAAGCCTGTGATATACATTTTGTTTAAATAACTTCAAAAGTGTTACAAATCATTTGTTTTGTCATACATTGCATCAGTATACTCACATAGCACAATATCTGTGAAAAAATAGGCTTGGCCAGCAATAATTAGCATGGCAGCCATCTTGCAAAAACTTGCAAAAACTTGCAAAAATAGTAAATAGTAATGCCCCACCTCCTTTTTTTTTTTTTAATCCGGACGAGAAATACATTATTTTTTTTCATTTGGCCTAAGATAAGTCATAGTTTGCTTTTTTGTGGGTCAATAATCCTGAAAATGTCCCCCAACATCCTCTCTCCCTATTCTCAAACCATATTTTTCTTATCAAATTTTCTGCCAAGTAATATCTCACCATTGTTATATTTTGCAGAAGTACAGAGCAATCCTTTTAATCCCTGACATTTACCATAGACCACACATCAAGGAACTTGTCAGACTACTCCTAACTCATTTAGACTTTGAAGCAGCCATCGTCCATCAGGTATGTCCTATTTTGGAATGGTTTGACTTGCTCCTTAAAGATGAAGTTGAGTTCTGATCATGTGATTGCATTGTGAAAGGTGGAATCGATCCGAAAAGGTTGATCATCTACCATATAGGTATTGGTGTGTACTGCAAGGTTCTGGAATCATCAAAATGATAAGAAGTTTGGCCCAGTCTTGGTAAAGTTGCAAGCACTATACACAGAAAGATGTATATGGGACTACACGAACATGTGGCGTTAAAATCTGTCCCAATTTTTATGTTGTTACATACCATATTTAGAATATTATGGCATTTGAAGAGCCATGCTTTTCAGGGAACTTTTTTTTATCTGACGTACTTCCACACTTGCATAATACAATGACAATTTTTTTTTTTTCATTGAATATCTTGGATGTCCACGTAGACACCTTGAAAAGTCATTGTGGTTTTACTTTCTCATCCAATATGAAAACATAAAAAAAAAGTTATTAGTAAATTACATTGTGTTGAGGAATAGCCTTCTTCTTAGTTACTGAGGATAAAAGATAATGTACTGAATATGAAATCATATAAAAACAAAGTTATTAGTAAATTACATTGTGTTGAGGAATAGCCTTCTTCTTAGTTATTGAGGATAAAAGATAATGTACTGAACATGAAAACATATAAAAACAAAGTTATAAGTAAAATACATTGTGTTCTTGTGGAATAGCCTTCTTTTTCTTATATCTCCTCTTAGTGACGTCTTTGTAATCTCTTGATCTAGAATACTCATAGATTACTACAATACTAAAATTATTCATGATTTATTTAACCTTTGGGAAACTCTGATCTTCTATTGGTTAAATGTGAAATAATTAGTTCCATTGTGCATTTTGTTTATTGGCATTGTTTAACAATGTTGAATCTGAGATGCATGGCCCTACGTGTTATCAGTGTCTGTGATATTGTGTAATATTGAGGCCCTAAAAACATTGCGCTTCAAAATGATTATGAATTGCCTCAAAAAAGTAAAAATCTTTGAGTGACCGGTTTTACCATACTCATTTTTCCCAATAGACTGTAGTGTTATAAAAACCATTAGGAAGCGAATTCTGAAATTTCTGATTCCAATAATAGATATCTTGATAATCAGACAGGCGATTGGCTTGTTAAAGTCATGGGATTCATGTATGACCTAAAGGTTTATAATTATGATTGCAGGCAGCATGAGCTTAATCCTGGAATTTGTTGACCGGTAGAATCTGAGGCAAAGTCACCCAATCCTTTAGTACTCAACTGCCTGTCTGTTAATGATAAACCTTTCACTTGTTTTAATATCCAAACTTTTTTTGGTAGGAATCTGTTTGTGCCACATATGGTAGTGGGCTATGCAGTGCCTGTGTTGTAGATGTCGGTGACCAGAAGACGTCTGTATGCTGTGTGGAGGATGGTCTGTCACATCGTAATACAAGGTGAAAAGAAAAAGAAAATCATGATAAGATGAAGCGTATGTTAAGGATGAAGTTGATCTGGTCATGCGATAAAATTGTGGAGAAACTGTTCAGAAGTAATTTGGAAAGGTTGAGGGGTGTATACTGTGAGCGTTAGAATCACCAAAATGATTAGGAATTTGCTCGATTGTGCTGATAGATACATGAACTGCACACAGAAATGGATGCATGGGACTACTAACACATGTGACATGAAGAGCAATGCTGAAACACGGAGACTCATAAATTTGTTTGTCATCTCTACCAGAAACCCAACTAAAAATGCATGTGTCTGATATTTGTCAAAACCGGCCTTTAGCTGCTATGTCACGAACATATTCATCCATTCTTATATTTTCAATCCAGCTGTAAATCAGTCACTGCCAGTGATTTATCCTTAGCTAGTGACCTTTTGTGACAAAGAAGGGAAATAGAATTAAAAAATAGAACTTCAAAATGGATTTTCTAATTGCATACCTATTCGTCCCGCGCATTACTCTGACTGTAGCTGAGCTGTCATACTATACCAGTATTTTGAATTCTCTATCAATTTTTTTTATTTTCTTCCTATGCCTGGTATTTAGTCAGTTTTATCTTGTCTCTAAATAGCAAGGGCAAAATACTGAGTTTAGTACGAGATTACTTCATTTTTAATACGGATTTTACATCTTATGAACATTTCTAAATGATGTATTAAATCCTGTATACTTTGTATTCATTATGCAGGGTTTGTATGACATATGGGGGGAAAGACATCACCAGGACCTTTACATGGCTGTTAGAGAGAGCCCGCTTTCCCTACAGAGAGTGCAAGCCAGAGAAAACGATGGATGCACTGCTGTTGGTTGAATTGAAAGAAACATTTTGCCATCTTGATCAGGTAAATTCAAGGTCCTTTGATATATCAGTCCTTCCAAATCATGTTAAATTGGTGATGATTTCTTATACTGCTGTAATTATTGTATTAAGTAGTAGTAGTATTTGTAGTAGGACTTGTGGTAGTAAAAGTAGTACCGGTAGTAGTAATGGTAGAAGTAGTAGTAGTAATAGTAGTACAGTAGTAGTAGTACAGTAGTAGTAGTATCATTAGCTTTTTTAGAGCTTACCGGAGCTAAATCACTCACTGCTCCCATGTATTTCTACACTGAGTAGTAGCAGCTACTTTGTAGTATTATTAGAGTAGTAGTAGTAGTGTTACTGTTAGTTGTAGTAGTAGTTTATTGTGTTCTTGTTCTTGTCTGTGTTCGTGGTCGTGTTAAGGCCTGTTCAGATATGCCACCTTAAACCGGTGCCACAAAGACTTTTTTTGTTGTACATGCATGTAAATGAATAGCAACTGTGTGCAACAAAGGTCGTACCCGTAATTCACTGAGCTCTGTGTGAAAACAAACAGAAATATGAAGCGTAATACACTTACGTCATCATAAAAACTACTTTTAAACGCTGTGGCTCACCGCATCATAATAATAATAATAATATGTTCTGCGCCTAGAAACAAAGTATTAAGCGCATTATAAATGTGAGCTTTATTATTATTATCATAACTGAATGAGACTTTACCATTATTGTTAGTTATTATTATTATTATTTTTATTTATTTGACCAGTCATAACAAAAATAGAATCCACAATACCTTGTGGCAAGATAAGAGACAAATCCATCAAAAGGAGTGGGAGAAACAAGTTAGTCAGGGTCAGTGCCAGGCCTGATAAAAACCTGATTTAAATCGGTTTCCCGATTTTTTCCCGATTTTTTTTCTTTCTTCCTGATTAAAAAAAAAAAAAAAAAAAAAAAAAAAAAAATCCAGATTTTTTTTTTGCCTTGAGGCATGTACGCCCACATGTCACATGAATATGGCACAAATAGAATGAAACATGGATCTTTTTAACAATAATGAGATGGGAGGAATGACAGAAATGCCAACCCGCCATGATTTTCAGGGAGCCTCTCTGACTTTTTTTTTTTTTTAACCGGTATACGTCACTCCACACAAATTTGAATGCCTCCCTGATTTTATGGAAAGATAATTCCTGTCATGCTGTATGCAAGTGATAGAGATCTCCCTGATTTATAAATGAATCCTCCCTGAAAGCTGAATGTAAAGGTTGGCATATCTGGGATGAAATTAATGGCATTTGACTGTGTAGGCTATGCCTTTTGGGACGAAAAGACAAGAAATGTTCAAAAAGAAAAATCTGGAAAAATGGGGAGGGGATCTATATGTATTCATCTTCATCGTCATTTTGATGGCGTATCATCCAGAATCTCACTTTAAATTAAAGAGGTATTGATGTATTGATCTATTTTTCATCAGGATTTTGATGGCATACAGATTCTAGATTTCCAAGTTTGCTACCCAAACCAGCCCACACTGACCTACCAAATGAAACTCGGTGACGAGACCCTTCAGGCTCCGATGGCCATCTTCTATCCGCAGCTTTTTGGGGTGGTGAATGAGAAGATGACTTTCACCCAGCAGCGAAACCAGGGTGATCCTGAGGACATCCACGATGAGCTCTATCTGCTGCAAACACAGAACCAGCAGCAACAGGTATCAATAGGCCTGTCTTGATCAGCTCGAGATTGCCAAATAACTCGCTATTTTAACTATCCCGATCGCAAATTATCTAGCTAATTTGCCCCTTCATCAGCCTGCAGTTGCACTTAGCGGGATATTTCAAAATATTCTACTGTTTGGCAAAATATCCCGCTTTATGTCCGGTGCCTCTTCAACAGCCCGAAGACTCGCACTATGCGCGAATGCTGAGCAAAATATCTCGAGCTAATTTCTCGAGCTTGAGTTTCGAGGTCGAGTCTCGAGCTGATGAAGACGCGATTTGTAGCTTTGGGCTTATTTCCTAAATCAGAAATAGCGGGCTATTTGGCAATCTCGAGCTGATGAGGACATACCTTCTGGGAACCCGATTCTCATTACGAGGGTGGACAAAGAATAACTAATTAATTTTTTTAATAAGAAATCGATGTGCTAGAAATAAACATGTTTGTTAAAAGGTCAAACAAAACTAGAACATGAGGGTGACGTCACACAAATTATTCTCAGCATAATTTTTTTCTCCAAGAAAAGGAATTAATACTTCAATTTTGACAACAAATAGGAAACGGATATGCTATATATAAACATGTTTATCGAAAGGTGAAAGGAAACTAGAAAATAAGGATGATGTCACACACATTATTCTTGTTATTTATTTTCCAAAAGAAAGAATTTAATAATTTTATTTTTACAGCAAATATGTAACAGATGTGCTAGAAATAAATATATTTATTGAAAGGTAAATTCTGGGTGATGTGGGTGTCAGTAGTCCTTTGATAACTATCTTAACAACAGATAGGAAAAAGTTGTACTACAAATAAACATGTTTTTTTAAAGTTAAAACGAAACTTGCGCATGTTGGTGGGTTCAAACAGATTATTCTTGGTGTAGCTTATTTTCCAAGAAAAAGAATTAATAGATTAATTTTTGACAACAAATAAGAAATTAATGTGCTAGAAAAAACTTGTTCATTGAAAGGGAAAAGGAAACTAGAATAGAGGGTGACGTCGCACACATAATTCTTGATGTAATTTATTTTCCAAGAAAAAGAATTAATAATTTAAATCTTACAACAAATAAGAAATGGATGTGCTAGAAATAAACATGTTTTTTGAAAGGTTAAAAGAAACTAGAACACAATGGTGTTGAACAACCAATTCGATCATTGCCATGTGGGCAGTGGGAACTTATGAAATTACTCCTAAAATATCATTCTTCAGGATATATGATGAATGAATCCTTAAAAGTTGGTTTGTTTCCTGGCAAATGAAAAATAGCCAAACTATCACTCCTTTATAAAGATAGTGACTGTGCTATAATGGAAAACTATTCATGCCTATTAAACTCTATCACTATATACAAGACGTAATTATCTATGCCCCCAGCAATCTGTTATTAGACTAATGCATTCAACGCAGTACACAGTTATTGAGGTTACTTATCATATTTTATTGAACATATGAACATGAATGCAGGTTACTGGTGGAATAAATATAGATTATTAAAATTCATTTGGCACGGTGGGCTGCAGCATTACTGCAAAACGTTTGGGTATATGGTTTATGGTAGGGCATGGCTTGATTTATTTAGTTCATACTTCTGTGAAAAAAAGCAGGTTTTAATGGTGAAACTCACGGTTGATGATGCTGCAAGTATGAAGTGCCACAAGGGTCAATAATATTGGTTGAGTACACTCAGCAAAAAAAGAAAGAGAGTGGACAGTATTTACAGTTTAAATTTATAAATGAGTATTTGATGTGAGTGTAACTTTCATATATCAAAATAAACATAAATTAATCATCTTTTAAATGATATGCAATTAGAATCATACCATTCCTGCATTTGTGAGCATAGCCATTTAACAATAAGGGAATCTCTGAAAGAACATTGCAAAGAAGAGGCATCTATCTGGCCATTTAAATGTTGATGAGTATTGGGAAGTATCCTAGGGCGATAGCATGACATTGTTTCTCATTCTTTGTTTTCATTGTCGAACAAAAATGTCTCACCGATAAATATGTTTGTTAACATTTAAATGGCTGCTTTTGCAATTTTCTTTATCAGACCATCTAACGGTTAAATGAATCTGCCCATCCAAGTCTGAAAGTTCAAAACTTGATCTTAATCGATGTTGTAGAGTATAAATTTTTCTTTAATTATTGAATTACATGTAATAGACAGTTTATATTGACAAATTGAACAATGAAAAGTGTCCAATTTTTGTTGTTGCTGAGTATATTTTAGCAGAATTAAGCCAATTATTATGGAGCCTTTGATTGGCAGGCATTTGGTTTTAATACGGCTTAATCTAAAGGTACGCACAAATATATAAGGGCTCATTTATTTCTTGAGATGATGTGTTATAATGCTAATCTATAGCAGGTGAGACTTATGAAATACTAGTACATGTAGCCGAATGTATGGTATCATGCAGCCCTACTTCTGAAGGGAAATCAAGACATCATCACGCAAAGCGAGGAAGTAGTAGGTACAATAGAAAAAAGACCTTCAACTTTGGTATATCTTGATGAAACCCTACATCTACATCTACGTCCACGTCCAGAGTGTTCCGCTTAAAAAGAGGAAAGAAGAAAAGAAATCTTAAATTTGAAAAGCCGGAAATATAATGATATTATATCAAACTTCAATCATTCAAATGAATTTAACATTGCTAAATAAGGTATTGATATAGTGAAGTTCCCACAAAAGGTGCAATATAAAGCGAACTGACTGTCACAAGATCAATTCAAAGCTGACATAAAAGGGAGAAAGATGCCAAAAGACAACCCCCCCCCCCTCCCACCCCCCTCAGGAACGTAATCACTGTGTCCCACAGGAGAAAGAAAGGAAGACCTCACAAATGGAAAGGACAATAGCCCCCCCCCCCAAAAAAAAAAAAAAAAAAATTACACCCAAGGACCCCCCCCCCCCTCCCAGGACAATCATAGCAAACCATAGCAAGGACAATTATCCCCCCCCCCCCCCCCTGTTTACTAAAGAGGAAGTCCACCCTGAAAATATGTTGGTTTTTAATAAAAAAGGTTTTTTTTCGGGGGAGGGGGGTGTAATTGTCCAAGGGGTAAAATGTCCTCAGGGGGGGGGGAGGATCAATGGCCGCGGGCGTTATTGCCCCTAGGAGAGATTTTCCTAGGGGGTAATTTTCCGGGGGTTAATTGTTCTCTGGGTGGTTGTCCTCCGGTGGGGAGGGGGGGAGGGGGTAATTGTCATTCGTGGGTAAATGTCCCGCTGGTAATTGGAGATTTCCGAGGGGGTTATTGGCCTAAAACCAGTGACTACGTTACAAATGACCTCTACAGAGAAGCCTAGAAGTTATTATAAAAAAGAAGCAAAAAAAGAAATAAAAAATGAAAATGTTCAGTGGAAGGACACTTGATCTTATCTCATCTTGAAGCCCTATAGACTGAAGCTCTCCATCCTTGAGATTACCATTGTTCCGTCATCTTCAATAGAATGTACATGTCTATCAATGTTGCATCCGTTAACCTTCAATTATATGTGATGGAGGGAAGTACCAATATGAATGTTGAAAATGGTTTCCTCTCATTTAATATTAATCCATTTTCTTGTAACCATCGCCCTCTGCTTTTACTAGCACAAAAAACAGAAAAATCGAAAAATTTGCTACTCAACCAACTAGCAGAGTAGGTTTCTTCTTCATTTTTTTTTTAAAAGGGGGATTATTTCCTTGCTGTTATAAAGAACCACAAATATGGAACAATTATTATATGTTTATGTATATATTATTATTATATGAAGTAAATATATTAATGTTTGTTTGGCAGGCAACAAAGCTAAAGACCGACAATGGTGTTTTCATGCGCGATGACCCAGCCTGTATACAGACCAACTCGGAGGGCCTGACATTAGGAACTGTCACTCAAAGAACCAGCTCTCCATTGATTGGCCAGTGTCAAGGTGATATGTTGGTGCACGCCGAGGAGGCCCCGCCCCCCATCATATCACGCCGGATCTCCACCTCTCAGACTCTAGACAAGCCGCTGGGGTTGGATCAAGCTATCCTATACAGCATTGATTGCTGCGGTAAGTAGGGAGGACTGGTTTATGGAAGTCAATTTAGTGCTGGGACCGTGTACATGTTTATCCGTGTACACGAACCTCTACACGTGTAGAAAATTCACTACACGGATGAATGAAAAAGAAAAAAAAATGACCTGTTTTTCACCATTATAAATTTCTGAAGTCAATATTTCACAAAAATATCTGTCATTAGTCTAAAATAAATTTTGAATTCCAATGCTACTTCATTCAATAATCATTTCCATACACTCTACAATTTTGATCCAATGCCGTCTAAATTTCCCACTTGCCATGGTACTTCAGCAGGGCAAAATAAGCATAATGTATGTGATGTTTATCTTGCAACTTGTATCTTGTAACACACAGATAGGCAAGTACCTGTCATTTTGCCATGTTAAAGTAATGGCTTCTCAACTCTAAGGCTAAGCCTCCCGCTCAGTTGATAAAAGGTAGAGTTTTGCATGGCTTCAAATATAGAAATATAATGTGATTGAAGCCAATACCACAACCTGATGCATTAATCAAGTCAGGCAAGCAATTTAATTTTTTAATGTACGTAGATCCTGGAAATTCTAGATTTTTTCTCTCCAAGTGACCGGAGGCAGTCATTTCCTGAAGTAGTAGGTGGAGGCATTGCCCTGAAGGCAGTCAATATTATCACATCGGACATCTAGAGCAAACAAGAAACTCTTAATATCTTACTCTTAAATTACCGTAATTAGCGTTGTATAAACCGCCCTCGTGTATTCGCCATTAACGACTCTGTCGGCAGCAAGCCTGGTCCGTGTTAAAAAAACCCACGTGGGAAGGCCTTTTATTTCACTGCGAGGTGCAGCTGAATGTGTAAGATCATTAATGTAAATTATAAAACAGAGGACCTAGGATAGAACCTTGTGGTACACCATGTAATAGAAGAAAAATTGGAGGAATTATTATTATAAACTACATATTGAGATCACAGACAAATTTGAGTGTTGTTCTAGTTTCCGAGTGATGAGTCAACACACCGATTACTGAGCTGGGAGACATTGCCAGGCATAGCGCCAGATGGAGGGGCATAAATCGAAACTTAAATTTTTTTTTCTTTTGTGTACCATGTATAAACCGCACCCCCGACTTTGAATTTTTTTCAGCAGCAAAAAGGTGCGGTTTATACACCGTTAATTACGGTATGTAAAATACAGTAGCCTACTCTGCACAGGGTTTCCTAGCATGAAAAGTTGCAAATACATTGTCAAACCAGCACTGTGCATCCAGTGCTTGACAAAATTTTCGATACACTGCTAACAGTGTGCCTTGGATGTGATTATTACGTCACAATAGAGTGCACGCAAAGTGCTCATTTTCTCTGCACAATGAAGCTGGATGTTGGCTCTACATATTATTATCCGATAGTCTAACACGCATTTTGCCATTGACTTTTCTGATCGAGCAATATACCTTGTTCATGGGTTCACTATTTATTGATATTGACTGGCAAATTGCACACAAAATTCCATTGAATTATCTGAGTGGTCAATTTTTTTTCTTTTTCGCCAGTAGTTTTTTTGGCTTATCAAACTTTGAGGGCAATAACATTTAAAAATTGCCCTGCTCAGATGTCTGATACGGTTAATAATAAAGTAATAATGACTGCTATGAGAGACATAGTTGTTTTTATACGCTCAAGGGGAGGTTACATGATCATGCTATCGCCCCGAGGCGTGCCGAGGGGTGATACTGAGTATGATCATGTAACCTCCCCATGAGCCTATAAAAACAACTATGCCTCAAATATTAAAGCAGTCATTATAACTTTTATATACCGAAAAGGGTCATAGAATACATGTGCGACTTAACAATCATGGTAATCAAGTTTGTTTACGCTATCGAGACCTAGTCTTAATAGGTTGTCTGATCGTGCACCACTCGAGTTTGTGTGCTAAAATCCTTCCCTTTGAGATTGCACGCATATACGTAAAGTGCCAAAACTGGTCAATAGTCTTTTGAAAAGGGCCTTAGGACAATTTTATACCTCACTTTAGAAATCTAGCCTTTCCCGTAAATGCCAAAACTGGTCAATAGTCTTTTGAAAAAAGCCACTTTTCAAAAGACTATTGACCGGTTTTGGCATTTTAGAAATGGCTAGATTTCTAAAGTGAGGTATAAAATTGATGTTATGTGGAATAAAATGAAATATAGCTAATATATGATCGATAAATTATCCATTCATACTGGTATCTGCTAAGTCTAAATTTCCCATTTGCCATAGTACTCCAACAGGGCAAAACAAGCATAATGTACGTGATGTTTATCTTGTAACCTGTATTTAGTAACACATTTAGATAGGCAGGCACTTGTCATTTTGCCATGTTAAAGTATTGCCCACACAACTCTAAGGCTAAGCCTCCCGCTCAGTTGATGAAAAGTATGGTTTTGGCATCAAATTTAGAAATATAATGTGATTGACTCCAGTGCCACAACCTGATGCATTAATCAAGTCAGACAAGTAATTGACTGTTCTTAATGTACGTAAATCCTGGAAATCCTTGATTTCTTTTTCCTCCAAGTATGTGGAGGCAGTAATTTCCTGCAGTGGTAGGTGGAGGCATTGAAGTTATCCTTTGATGCATGGTTTCACCCGGCACGTTTTGTTTTGTAGCTTCCGATGAAACGAAGAAGAAGATGTACAGCTGTATACTGGTGGTAGGAGGAGGCGTGGCCCTATTCCAAGGCGCGGCCGAGATGCTGCAGCAGAGAATACAAACCAAGATGCCCCCTTCTTTCAGAAGAGCTGTGGATAGAGTCGAGGTCGTATGCAAGTCAAAGGTCAGTGTTGGGTACCTTTAGGTATGTCATTAGTTGTGCCATTCTGACACAGGGTCAGATGTTTGTATTGTTTTATGTGCTGTTTTGGAGGATTTCATTCTGTTTTACCGTAAATCTATGAACAGTTTGAACCATTTTATTGTTGATGTGCAATGAAGCCCCCCCCCCCCCCCCCCCCCCCCCCCCCAGAAAAAAAAATTTTGTTGTCAATGCCCGACATTATTTGTATGTACCAGTATCAAGATGAGACTGAAGTGGTACCTTACTCATATATTAAATCCTAACTTTATTTGTATTTTACTTGGAAAACCTATGGGAACTTCCTTTAGTACAGATGTCAACAGGAGTCTCCTACTCTACAGAATTTAAGTTTTATTTTTATGAAGTAGCCGGAGGAATTATGTTTTCGGGTTGTCCGTCCGTCTGTACGTACATCCCGTTCTCGTGAGTCCATTATCTCAAGAACTGACTGATGGATTCCCTCCAAACTTGGGTCATGTATGTATCTTGCAGAGCCAATGGACTGATTAGATTTGGGGGTCACAAGATCCACAGTCAAAAGTCACAGGGCTGATGATGTATGCAAAAATAGCTCTTGATCGCGTTATCTCAAGAACCCATCAATGAATTCCCGCCAAACTTGGATCATGTATGTATCTTGCAGAGCCAATGAACTGATTAGATTTTGGGGTCACAAGATCCAAGGTTAAAGGTCACAGAGCTGATTTATGTATGCAAAAATAGCTTGTGATTGCGTTATCTCAAGGACGGATTGATGGATTCCCTCCAAACTTGGGTCCTGTATGTATCTTGCAGAGCCAATGAACTGATTAGATTTTGGGGTCACGAGGTCAAATGTCAAAGGATATGGGGCTCATTATGTATGCGAAAATAGCTTGTGAAGGCGTTATCAATAGAACCGACGGATGGATTACTATCAAACTCAAAACATGTATCTTGCAGAGCCAATGAAGTGATTAGATTTTAGGTTCATGAGGTCAAAGATCGAAGGGTCAAACATGTATATGAAAAATAGCTTGTCATCACATTATTCTGAGAATCTTTTAGTAGATTACAATCAAACTTGAATTTAAAAAACTGCTTCTGTTTTGGTTTGTAAAATTGCTCCATGGCGGAGGCATCATTTTCGACTGCGCGCAGTCGAAGGTCCATCTAGTTTGATAGGGGTTTTAAAGATTCACAATTCAATATTTCTCTCGCTCATGTATATCTTTAATGATAATCGTCATATTCAATGACAATTTCATAGGCTGTCTATTTTGTCAGAAATGTGATGTATGATATTCATTTTGTGCTTCTTTAATCAGTAGACAGTAGACAGTATTACGCTAAACATTTATAGTATCACTTTAAATATTGAAAATGAAGTTAAGAATGAGGTTTTCAATTCAATTTAATATGACCGTATCACTCAGAACAGTCTGAAGATGATAACAATGGTTTTTGTGTTCATCCTGCAGGAACAAGACCCGAGGGTGACGTGTTGGAAAGGAGGGGCCGTCCTGGGTTATCTAGACACAACTCAGGAACTATGGATCAGCAGGACAGAGTGGGAACGCGAAGGACTCAAGCTTTTGAGAGAACGATCGCCATTTGTCTGGTGATGGATAGATAAAAGGACAAATCTTTCCATCGATGGTGTTGCCAAATGTAAGGGAGAGAGAGACAGGCAATGTCCAGGATAATCGTCTATTGGCTAGGACGTTTTCTGCTGATACAGACTATCGCCATTGCAACGTGAATGGAAAGAAGGGAAAGAGGCTGACTGGATCATTCCACGGATGGACTCAGTATTTCATTGAGGAAACCGGCAGATCTCCATGGGACAGCCTGAGAGAACATTCAATGGAGCCATTGAAAATATGTGTTGAATGAATATCAAAGGGCGAGCCAACCCTTGAAATAAGTTCAGTTGTATGAAAGCAGGGAAATAAAATAATTCCAAATCTCAAATCTCAAATTTGGTACGTGGATTGTGACGTAGACACAGATAACTCTGCCCTTTGTAGTGTACAAAATATTATTAGTGTCTGTTTTTCTCCTGAGTACCTCCCCCTTCGGGCACTTTTCAAAATATATTATGGATAGCATAATGATAATGGTTCCTCCAAAGAGAAAAAATCCCCCCCCCCCCCTCCCGAGACATACATTTTTGAAAGAAAAACAATATGAGTCATTTTGTATGTTGGAACAAATGGGAAAGTTGTACACCACTGCATCACAGAGATATTACTGATTCAGCCAATTTGAAGAGCCCATACCTATAATGATGACAACTTTTAAAAAATGTGTTACTTTCTTCTTTTTTGTCCGATTTCATTCAATTTTTCACCAGTCTGCTTCTCTGATTTTTCTGCTTTGTTTTAGAGCAGTTTTCAAGGTTGGATTTCCCTTTCATTTACCTCCAGCAGGTTGACAGTGTCTGAGATTTCTCATGTGGGGAATGTTATGATGCTTTATACAGAAATTGAATATTATACTATAATTTATTATTATTGCATTGATTTTCTTTCCCCTATTCTGTAGTGTTTACTCTGAATTATCAAGTTGTAACACCTGCCTGTTCCGCGATTTCAAAATGACATCATGCTCACAGAAAAAAAGATAGTTTGTAATTTTATCCTGTTATTTATCATGGAAAAAGAGACAATTTATATTGAAAAACCATAGGATGGGTTTTTAACCAAACTTTATAGGGTATCAGAGGTTAGAGGTCAAAGGTCACATCTTCATAAAGTTTTCAACCACTCTCTGCTCAAGTATGTTTTAGCATGATGAAGATGAACAGAAAAGAGTTTAGTTTCATGAGGTCATATGTCAAATGTCACATGATCTTAGGTTAATTGAAAGTTGACGGGGGCGTATTGACGACGCAGTCACACTCATCTAGATTCCACTCATTAAACATTCGACTTATTTTGTTAACTGTCCATATGTACCTTTTCAGTCATTTGAGTGAATTAAACCTGTAGGTAAAAGTATTTAAAATTAGATGCCACTGTTGAAGAACGAGTATGAATGAGTGAAGAAAATTGATACTTGTGCGTAAAGTCAGTAGACGTCAGATTGGTGTGAAAGATCAGAGTGAAGGGAATAATTCAATATATACATGTTCAAGTAGGTTTAAGATGCCATAAAGTTAAAGGTGCTTTTACACTTAATTGAAATAAAGTCACCACAGATTCACATTATATGATATTTCAAGTTTTATTGTTATATTGGATTCAAGCCAACCTAAGACTTGATTTGGCCAAAATAACCCTAGGGCCTTAAAATGAAAATATGCCCCTTTAATAATTGTCGAATCAAAAGGCATCTCATAAGAGAACTTCCTCCCCCTTCCCTGTCAAAAATTTGTTCAAGTTCCCCCAAGATAATGGCAGGACAGTGTAATACACTTTTAAAAGTGATTATGACTGTGACCACCAGTACGATCAAGCTTCTCATTTGTGTTTATACGGCTTACTTTAAAGGCACACTGTCCTACTTGTAGCTACTTGCTCCCTATATATAGAAAACTTGCCCAATCGGTGCCTGTTGGTCCCCCATGATCCTCTTTTTCTTATGTTAAATGAGAGCTGAGTTAATGAGATAGCCACCTGTCACAGTGACCTCGTTGGCTCGCTGTGTGGTCTAATCCCTTCTAGCTGCAGTAGTAACGCCTACCTTTAAAGGTAGCACTTCCACCTGAGCTTTTGCTAGCTATAAATAACAAAAATTAGTAGAGGGGCTTTCAACTGGTTCGTTCGTTATTTAGACGGTTCCAGAAATTTGATCTAATAGAGTGATCGTTTTGTTTGCAAAAACAATGAGAGTTCAGGGAAGATGAAATTGGTTTGTTTATCTAGTTGAATAGGAGAGTTTAGCATTATTGCATCGAAATTTGGGAGCCGTTTTGTATAAAATACTTGATCCGTCCTTGATTATAGTATACTTCTTATCTCCATGGTATACCAGTACTGGATATCTTCCTCCTGGCAACTTGACAGCCTTTATCAGATTGCAAGGCCGTATAATGTGGGCCTGAACTGTTAGATGGATTCCTTGTCAGCTCAGGTTACAAGGTCGTAAGATGTAACTTTCTTTATTTGCCCCCCCCCCCTCCCTCTTTTTCTCTTTTTCCTTGGACGTAAGTTTTCCTCTTATAAATAGGTCTATGAGGCGATAATTTCGATTTTTAAAATCAATTTTAAGGCTTCATGAGACACCCCCTGTCTTTTTTATCCAATGTCAATGTCTTCCATTTCATATATATGTTATGTTTATTTATTATTAACCAGCGTTGCAATGCCCTTTATCTTTACTCGAAGACTCCTGATGAATGTACATGCTGACCTTATCATAATTTTAAAAATAGACTGCATATTGTGTAGGCAGCCGCTTCAAGAGGATCATGATAAAAACAATTAGAAACATTGTTGTTTTTTTAGTAATGGTCAGTCAATGCCCTTATGTAAAGGAAAATATGGTTGTTACTTCTTCTTCTTCTTCTTCCTCTTCCTCTTCCTCTTCCTCTTCCTCTTCCTCTTTCTCTTCCTCTTCCTCTTCCTCTCTCTTCCTCTTCCTCTTCCTCTTCCTCTTCCTCTTCCTCTTCCTCTTCCTCTTCCTCTTCCTCTTCCTCTTCCTCTTCCTCTTCCTCTTCCTCTTCCTCTTCCTCTTCCTCTTCCTCTTCCTCTTCTCCTTCTCCTTCTCCTTCTTCTTCTTCTCCTTCTCCTTCTCCTTCTCTTCTTCTTCTTCTTCTTCTTCTTCTTCTTCTTCTTCTTCTTCTTCTTCTTCTCCTTCTCTTCTTCTTCTTCTTCTTCTTCTTCTTCTTCTTCTTCTTCTTCTTTTTCTCCTTCTTCATATTCTTCTTCTCCTTCTCACAAGGCAGTGACCTCCATTATGAGGTCTAAAATTAGACCACTTCTTATTCCAGCCACAGAGATGTAAAGAATTTTTTTTTTTTTTTTTTTTTTTTTTTGGAGGGGGGATGGGCAAAATCGGCTAGTGCCTCCTCCCTTGGGGTCTTAAAATGAAAATATGCTCCTCTTAAAATAATCAACGCAAAAGGCACCTGATAAGTGTGATTCCTCCCCCACAATTGTCTGAATATTCCCCCCCCCCCCCATTATTTGTGTGGTTTTGGGGTGTTTTTTCTTAGGTTTACGCTTATTTTGTTCCAAATTTACATTAAAACAAACTGTAGAGTATTAATACATAACGGGTAGATAACTTAGATAAACTCGGGGATAAACTATGATGTAAGGTAAATAGTTAGGTTTTTCTAAAGAAGCGCAGATATGACAGACAATCTATTTTTTTCCTTAAATGATAATGTAAAATGTGAGTAGTAAATCTGACTATTCAGCAAGAGGTGAAACGCGATCAAGTACATGTCGTACCAGATTTACGAAACGTGCGAGGAGAATGAACCACCGAGTAAGGAAAGAAACGAAGGAGAATTTAAGAAGAAGGTGGAGGTAAAACAAAACAGTCTCTATGACTACGATCCAGCTTCTCATAATTGGTATATAGAGGGGTTTTCCACTGGTTCGTTCGTTATTCAGACGGCTCCAGATATTTGGTCTAGTAGAAGGCATTGTTTTGTTTGCAAAAACAATGAGAATTCAGGGAAGATGAAATTGGTTTGTTTATCTAGTTGAATAGGAGTGTATAGCATTATTGCGTTACAAATTGGGAACCATTTTGTACAAAATACTAGATCCGTCCTGGATTTTACTGGATCTTCCTCCTGGCAACATGACGGCCTTCATGCAGATTGCAAGGCCGTAGAATGTGGGCAAGAATGTTAGATGGATTCCTTTTCAGCTCAGGTTACAAGGCCGTAAAATGTGGTTATTTTTGTATTTGCCCTCCTCTTCTCCTCCTTCTTCTTCTTCTTCTTCTTCTTTTTTTTCTTCTTCTCTTCTTCTTCTTCTTCTTCTTCTTCTTCTTCTTCTTCTTCTTCTTCTTCTTCTTCTTCTCCTTCTTCTTCTTCTTCTTCTTCTTCTTCTTCTCCTTCTTCTTCTTCTTCTCCTTCTTCCCCTTCTCCTACTCCTTCTTCTTCTTCTTCTTCTTCTTCTTCTTCTCCTTCTCCTCCTTCTTTTTCTTCTTCTTCTTTGTCTTCTTCTTCTTCTTCTTCTCCTTCTTTTTCTCTTTCTCCTTGGACGTAATTTTTCCTCTTTTAAATAGCTATGATGCCAGTTTTTTTTATTAACTAAAATTGATTTTGATTTTAAAAATCAATTTAAGGCTTCATGAAACACCCCCTGGTCTTTTTTTTCCAATGTCAATGGCTTCCTTTTTATTTGTATAATATGTTTATTTTTTTGATAACTATGTGGCGTTGTAGTGCCTTTGATCTTTAATCAAAGACTCCCGATGGATGTAAATAGCATAATCCAAATATGGCGTGGGCAGCTTCAAGAGGATCATGATAACAAAATAATGACAAACGTTGTTGCTTTCTATGGTGAGTTAATGCCTTTATGTAAAGGAAAATATGGTTGTTTATTCTTCTTTGTCTTCTTCTTCTTCCTTTTTCTTCTTCTTTTTCTACTTTTCCTTCTTCTTATTATTTTCTCCTTCTTTTTCTTTTCCTTTTTCTTCATATTCTTCTTGTTATTTTTATTATTATCATCATTTTCTTCTTGTTATTTTTATTATTATCATCATTTTCTTCTTCGTTCTTCTTTCTTCTTCTTTCTTGCATGTGGGAGGCTCCAGTGTCAAAGAATACAAGGACAAGGTAACGGATGTACACGTTCCGCCGTGAACTTGGACAGCCATGTCTCCCTCATAGGTCAATGTCAACGATTTCCTTTTCCTTTAAAGGTCATGTTTATTACTTTCCTTTTTTTCCCTTCTACTTCCTTCTTCTTTCTTTCTTTATTTTTATTTGTTTTTATTTATTTCACACATTTAAAAAAAGGGTAGCCCAATCAGCATATACACTGGTTTTCGTTGGGGCCCTTTAAAATACAAACAATATATACATTCAAAAAATTGTGAACAAGACAAAATTGAACATTTCATTATACAACCAACAATAATTGCATATCACGTTATTACAAACTATTAAAATGCAAATTTGATTGTAAATATATACGAAATAAGGAGAAGAAAAGTTTTACATTATGAAGGGTGAGAGTAGGTATATGCTTGTCTAGCGTCTCCCGATTCACATATAAACATTTAAAACAAACTGAATTAATACAAACTTAACATTTCAAATAAGACTATAACTGTAGTTGCAAGCAAAATTGTTCACAAAATAAATACATGATGATGAGAGTTAAAACACACAAAATAACGAAATAAGTACGGGAAGATAATTTTAAAAAAGCTTCTGTATGATTGGTGAGGTTGAATATATCTGCATTTTTGGAGGCCCTTCTGAAGACAAACAAAAGTATATGGAAAAAACAAACAAACAAACAAAACATCAAATTTGTGTGACCGATTAAATAAACAGGATAAGAAATATAACCTACCAGATATGTAACAATATGGGAAAAGTATTTTGCCCCCATTTCGTCCAATATTGCAAGTGGGAAGCTCCATGGTCAAAGAGTACATAATTACGGATGTACACGTACGTTGTGAACTTGGACAGAACACCCTCTCAAATTATTTTAATCTCATATTAATTTGTGATATTGAAAAATGATATGCGACCTTCAGTCTTTAACATACCAAAGTTTTATTGGGACAGTATTATTATTATCATTATTTAAAATTTTACTTCAGGACCTTGAAACTGGCAGGATTAAATAAACTACACTATTAATGGAATAACATCTTTGTAGTGTGAAATGGGTTCGCACCCAGATACTGCTTCCTACCCTCTCTTGTCTGGGGGGGGGGCGAGTTAGTAGTAGTGGTAGTAGTAGTAGTAGTGGTAGTAGTAGTAGTATCAGTATAGTAGTAGTAGTAGTAGTAGTAGT